TGGATTATAAAATTTTTGCAAAAATTTTGGCTAATAGAATGATGCAGATATTGCAACACTATATACATGATGATCAAACTGGCTTCATATCTGGAAGGTACATGAAGAACAATATTAGACAAATTGTAAATTTACTGGAATATTTGGATAAGAATAATCAATTATCATCTGCTTTTATCTTTCTTGATGCGGAGAAGGCATTTGATAAATTGGAATGGCAGTTTCTAAATAAAATGTTGGATTATATGAACTTTGGAGATCAATTCAAAACAGCTATAAAGGCGATTTATCAAAAACAGTGTGCTCAAATAATTATTAATGGAGACCTGACACAACCTATAGATATACAAAAGGGTACCAGACAAGGTTGTCCACTTTCTCCTTTATTATTTGTATTGTCACTGGAAATTTTGTTGTCTAGAATTAGAGAATCTTCAATGATTAAAGGTTTAAGGATTTCTGCTAAAGAATATAAACTTAAAGCTTTTGCGGATGACTTAGTTTTTACATTGTCTCAACCAACTGAGTCATTGGAATCTTTGTTGCAAGAATTGTATCAATATGGTAAAGTGGCTGGTTTCAGAATTAATGTTAATAAGACTAAAATTCTCACAAAGAATATGACGGCCAAAGATAAAAATCAACTTACGCAAATATCAGGATTTGAAGTAGTTAATAAAGTGAAATACTTGGGAATTTTTTTGTCATCCTCTAACATGAAATTGTATCAGAATAACTACGAAAGACTGTGGAAATCAGTACAAAAGGATCTATTAATGTGGAAAAAATTGCAGTTTTCTTTGCTGGGTTGTATTGCGGCCATTAAAATGAACATTTTACCTAAGTTTCTTTTTTTATTCCAGATGTTACCTATTTTAAAAAATGAAATTAACCTGAAAGAATGGCAAAGAGATTTGAATCGTTTCATTTGGGAAGGCAAGAAAGCTAGGGTTAGATTTAAGATTATCCAAGACATTAGAGAACGTGGAGGACTTAAAGCACCAAATCT